TATTTAGGTTCATAAACCAGCTAAGTGCTCTGGAAAATGCTCCCAAGCAAGGCCTTGGTAAATCAAGGAGCAATATATTTCAAGCAGCAACTTGTGAGCTGTACTGTTCTCGTGTGTGGTGTGGCCTTGGAGGATTAGTTCTGTCCCTTCCTGTGACATATTTTTATTTTATATTTATTTTTATTTTACATTTCTAGCCACAATCGGATGCGAACTTACGATACCTATGTTGGAATTGGGTGGCTGATTCCTGGTATGGACCAGGGTCTCCTGGGAATGTGTGTAGGGGAGAAGCGCATTATCACAATACCACCATTCCTGGCATATGGAGAAGAAGGAGATGGTAAAAATTACTCTTTCTCTTTCCCAAGCAATCTATATTCTAACTCAAACCCATGTGCCCTTTTAATTTAGGGGCAGCATTGTTACCACTTACTGACAAATGGCATGTTCTGATGGAAAAGAGAGGTTCAAATGTATGATGTACAGGAGGTGGTTGATCAGAAAGCAAGATTTTTTTTTTCATACAATAAATTGCTTAGTTGACATATCGTTGGTTCTAATTTTAACCTTTATATGATCAGATTTAATTTCCTTTCAGAGAATTTCCTCTGTGCTTAATATTCAGGAAATTGGAAGTTAGTTGACTGCTTCATTCTTCCAATGACTGCTACAGAGAGCAGAAAACCTTTAAAAACAGGAAAATCAATTCGTAGTTTCAGTTTTCTTCATTTTTTGGCAGCAAATTCCCCAGTAATAGCTACCAGATGGACTAATTGTGCTAGTAGCCTGCAGCTTATACGCTGAGCTCCCTGCTGTAAGCAAGGGGACAGCTGGGTGGATCTGGGGACTCCTCCTTGCTTAAATTCCCTTTCTGGTCTAAATATTTAAGCATTGTCTGTGTCTGTGGTGTACAAGTTTTCGTACTCATTCCCTGACTTTATTTACCATTAGAGTTTTTGTAGTCTGTGGAGATTGTTATTTTTAAAAATTTTGCCAAGGTGCTTTTATGATATAATTTGTGAACCTGTAGGAAGGTCCCTCTTCACTGAGAGACTCCATTTACCCTTTTTCGACTTCCATCGTGTGCTCTCCTGCTTTGCTACTAGCAAGCAGGAGGAGCAGGAGTGCCAGGTATGGTTATTATTGTCATGTACCTTCACCGAGCACGTTGGAAACCCTCCGTGGCTGAAGCACGTAGCACAGATGGACCTGCTGTAGGGTGACTGTGCTGGGTGTCGCTGAAGAGCCTGCAGTTTCTGGTGATCCGCTGGCATCATAATTGAATGCAAGTGACAAATTCACACACACGAAATAGAAGATGATTTTAGTAGATTATGTTCGTTCATATTTGTAGGGGAAGTGCCTGATACTGCAAAACGGGTTATTTTTCATCACTAGAAAAAGTGTAAGTCCCTTCTAACCCCCCTGCTCTTTCTAACTGATTTCTGCTCTAACAACCTTGTAGGGAAGGAGATCCCTGGCCAAGCTTCTCTGGTGTTTGACGTGGCCCTGCTAGACCTCCATAACCCCAAGGACGGCGTTGCTGTTGAGCAGCAGCACGTCCCCGAGCGCTGCGAGCGCAGGAGCCAGGCGGGAGACTTCGTGCGCTGCCATTACAACGGCACGCTCCTGGACGGCACCTTGTTTGATTCCAGGTAACCGGCCCGGCGTCTGCTGCCCAGCCCGTTTTCCCACTGACTTATGTGGCTGTCTATAATGTATCCAAAGAGAATTTGTTGGTTTTCCTTCCTTTCTGAAATCTGGGAGCAGGGTTGGAGCCTTCCCTTCTGAAAGGCCTCCCAGCCCAAGACCAAGGCGCCTTTGGGTAGTGCCCAAGTCGCCATCTAGGGGTTGTGATCCACCAGATGCAGAAATGTGCTTGAAGACCTTTAGGCCAAAGAGCTCATGAGTGGAATAGTCATATTATTAATGAGAGAGAAAAAAATAAGTACGATTCCGATTTAACATCTAGAGAATTGCGAAGCAATGAGCTAGTGGCTAGCTTAAGGTTATTGGAACCAGACCTTGATCTCAGGAGAGTCTTTCCCACTGTATTTGAGGAGGGTCTGTCTGCATTTTGAAGGATAATGTTTTTCAGAGCAGAATTTAGCACCAGGGTTTCAGTGATAAAGGAAAAGGGATCACTGTCACTTGGGAGTCAAAGCTTTCTGGGTATGTAGGCATTGTGCAGAATTATACGCTAAATAATAAATATCCTTGTAGCTTCCTGACACTTTGGGTCTTTTTTTCTGTTTAATGAGCAGGAGTTTACTTTTCCTGCTCCGGTAGAAAAGCTGGCACGAGTAGCTAAAAAGAGTTGGAAATGATCCACTGTGAAATGTTTTACAAAATAAACTTAGACAAAATTGCTTTACACTTCTACGGATATGATAAGCTGAAGATTGGGAGGAGCTTGCAAACATAAACTGAGTTATGTGCAATTAGAGATTAGAGCAATCTAGCAATTAGAGATTTTTAAGGTGGCTGTGGTATTTATGTAAGGGCTGCTGCCAATAGATAGCAATAACTGCTTTGTAGGCAGCAACCTGTATGTCACCTATAGAGCTGACAGTTTTTACAGGGGTTATTGGCTGGTTGGCCATTCCCTGGTGTCCTATGGAAGTTACAATTCAGGCCAGCGTTTGAGAAGCCTGGGAAGACACCCTGCTGAGTCTGCTGGTCGTGCAGAGAGGTGGAACAGCTGCCAGTAGCTCTGGAGAGCCTTGGAGCGGGCTGGAAAACTTCCCTGACGGAACAGGAGCGCTCCCCGAGCAGGGCTCATGGCTGGAATCGGAAGCGCTAATGATTTTCCATTGTAATTTAAGAAGTGGCTGCCTGGGCTTGGAGCAGGTAGCTGAACAAACCTCACAATTTCATCAGGGTCTGTCCAGGCCTCATGCTTTCCCAGAGACACCTTATAAGGCTGAATTAAAGCCTTACTGCGCTCCCTTCTTCGAGCTTTTGGGTAGCATACCTTGAGAAAAGCAGAACACAGCTGCATGCTTTGCAGCAAACATCATCTGTTGCTGTGGACTCGTTTTATCTTGAGGTGTGGAAGGAGATCCTGTGACGTGTTCTTAAGTGATTGCCATAGTCTAGAAGGGAGGATGTTGTTGATACTCTTGTCATGACTCATTTCTCGGCATCTGAGGTGAACCTGCTTCTCCCACCTGATACCTGTGGCAGTTAAACTACATTGTTGTGGTAGCTGCAAAATGAGATAGTCTGAAGGGTGTCCCCTGCCCCATGTGTAGTTGGTGAGCACGCACTTAGGCCACGCTGGGATGGGGGAAGTTAGAGGTGATGGCGCGTGCCGACCGCGGCTAAAAGCAGTCGTTCTCCCCAGCTACGCGCGCAACCGGACGTATGACACCTACGTGGGGAAGGGCTACGTGATCGCTGGCATGGATGAGGGCCTGCTGGGCGTCTGCATTGGCGAAAGGAGGCGGATAACAATCCCTCCCCATCTCGGATATGGGGAAGAAGGAAGAGGTGAGTCTGGCTTTTTGTTTAGCACAGTCTTCGCTCACTAATGGTGTTTCCTTTGCTCCTCAGGACAGTTGTATGTAGATATGCTTTAAAATATTCATTCCACCTTTTTTTTTTTCCCACATTTGAAAGGCTTATCAATTACTCTGTTATTTAGTAGTTGTGCAACTGGTAGGATTGAATTTGTAAAATTAACTTGATTAGCTTAATGGGCAGCACAGTAAGAATGCAGGGCGACCTCTCGTGTAACTGGTGACCTGCAGCCATTCGACTCGTGTTTCGTGCAGACTGTATCTGGCTGTCAGGAGCTCTGCAGGGCGAGATCTTCCTTCCCGCATCCCTTCACGAGCTCTGTACCGAAAGGAATTCCTGGTGTTAAGTTTTCTTTCCCGTTCCTTTCACAGCCACAGAATTTGTGGGCTCCTATGTCACTCTGTAGCAGTGAATCTGTGCAGCAGCAAAGCAGGGTGTATGTACAACCTACCACTAAAACTCCTCGGGGAAAGGAAAGCTCCCTGGTGCTTGAGAGGATTGTGAGAGGTCAAATACATTAATCCTTGTAACCAACCACAAATTCATGGCTGGAGTTTCAAAGTTACCTCCAGAGATGTTATGTGGGAAATCTGACGTCTTCTAAGAGAAGATTCTTTCAGTGAATTCTATTCAAATTCTACTATGGTAATTTGGGAATTATTTTTTCTACCAGTAAAACTGATTGTTGGATCTGGATGTGTCTGTTCTTGCTGACAATGTAATTTCACATTATCTTGGGAAGGGGGGAGAGGAGTTGCTTGCTCCCAGGATATTTTCAAGAAATAAAACCTTCAAGGCACAATGTCATCCCTTGAAGCATGAGAAATCCTAGGGGAATTTGGCCCATCAGCAATGAGTTGGCACAGAACATGAAACAGACATGAAACAGAAATCAGTCAATCAGGATGGTCACAGGAAATATCATTGCCTCATTTCTGCGTGATTTTTAAATTCGGAATGATGGAAACGTTTCCTTCACAGTAGATCCAAGTGCATATGTACTGCTTTTGCCCGGAGTTCTCTCCAGCACTGGGTGCTGCTGGCACCCATGCTGCACCTAGAGGAGCTGCCCTCCTTCTGCTGTGGGAGATGAGGGCGGATCAGTCGCTATCACACGTAGGGGGAATGTCTGTTCCTATACAGGGTGCAGTGCGTGGCCATTGCAAACCTGCTTGGGTGCTCTTTCCTCCCATTTAGGAAAGATCCCAGGCTCTGCAGTGCTGATCTTTGACATTTACGTAGTCGACTTCCACAACCCTTCGGATTCTGTCGGCATAACCGTTACCTACAAACCTTCCAACTGCAGCGTGCTGAGCAAGAAGGGGGATTACCTCAAGTATCACTACAACGCGTCGCTCCTGGACGGCACCTTGCTGGACTCGACGTAAGTAAATGCCCTGCTAAAGAAAATGTCCCTTGTAGATGTGAAAGCAGAACAAACAACCTGCAAAACACCCTAGAGGGGAAGAAGGCATTTTTGTGTCAAAAATTGGCTATTTATGTTGGAATATGTCTGTCACATCTCCTTGCCCAGGACGTATAGGAGAAGGAAAATAGGTAATCTGTCATGGCCTAAAGAGAGAACTGAGAGCAGAGAGGATACTGCAGTATGTTAGGAAGGAACACGAGGGGCAGACAGGGTGAAGACACAGGCTGTGAACGTGGCTGTGCAGGAAATAGTCACCACTGGGTCTCTGCCACACACAGGTCCCAGTTTTCATGTATGGGGGGGCTGCAGTAAAGATCAGCCCAGAGAAACCACGAGGCGGGCAGCTGGTGGCTGGGACTGTGATGCTGCCCTTTCCTCCTCCTGCTGCTGCTGGGTTCATGAGGAAAGCAGAGGTTGTTGCTGTTCCTTCCCTCTCCTCACTCCAAGAGCAGCTGGGATCTTTGCCTGGCAGCTTTGCTCCGTCCTGGTGGGTCGTGCTTGCTTTCTGATACAAAAGCTACTTGTGCTGACCTGCACTGAGCCCACAGCGCTGCTTACAGCAGCTGCAAGGATGGATACTTCTGCTGGCTTCTTGTTTCTGCCTTCATCTTGTGGATAGCAGTTGTCATCCAAATAATGTTGTATTTTATTTTGGGATGGGGAGTTGGAAAAAGCTATTTTTATACAGACTGTAATTAATATATCAAGCAGGTTCTAGTTTTCACAGTGCGTACAGTAGCTTGCAGGGCTGCAAATCCAGCTTACATTGAAGCACACGATGGGAATGTGTTCAGCTTTACAACACCTTTTATATGACAGGAACTCTCAAATCTCGTCTTACGTCAGGAACCCAGGGATGTTGAGCTTGTCACTTACTCAGAGCAGTTTGTGGGGATTGTGAACCTTGTGCACCTGATTTTAAGGCTGCTTCCTATCCACCAAATTGTTTTCCTTCCAAATAATATTCTACGGTGCAGGAATCTCCTGCAATGGTGCAACCAAGTCAAATAACTAACGAAAGCAGACTGACAAAGCATCATTCCAAGTAATGAGTACCAAGGGATTTTCCGCTAATTTCTGTTAATATCTTATTTTAGAAGTAAGATACCAGCAGCAGGGTGTAATTTACAGTATAATATTGTTGAACAGCTGTAGCATTCTTAGACTTCAAAGCTACTGTGGCTGAGTGACTAGTGTATAAGTGACTTGTACATTGTGGGGAATTATTTGGTTAAGGGGAGCAAATGTGCATCTGGAATTTTTTAGATCAGAGTAAAAAAACAACTTTGTTAGTTAAAAATATTTGCAAAGCAAGAAGCCCTTGTTTAAAGACAATATGCTTGGAGATTTTAATGTCAGGATTGATTGTATATTAATTAGATTTAATTCAGGACACCTTTAATTTTAATACTGGGGGATTTGGCCAGTCCTGGTTGACAGCAGTGACCCCTCTGTTTGGTGTTGTCTGTAACCTGCTACCTTGAGAACAGCTCCAGGTAACTGCCTGGAAGAACAGAGCACTGGGCAGGAAGTTAATTTTTCACAGTGGCAGGACACTAGTTAAAAGCTGCTGTTCCTGTGGTAATTTTGAACCAGAGAAATCCTGTTATATGCCACTTTTTTTTTTAATTCTATTTTCTCACCCTCCTCAGACTTAGCCTTGGCAAGACCTACAACATCGTGCTGGGCTCGGGGCAGGTGGTGGTGGGGATGGACATGGGCCTCCAGGACATGTGTGTGGGCGAGCGGCGCAGAGTGGTCATCCCGCCCCACCTCGGCTACGGAGAGGAGGGTGTTGGTGAGTGCGGAGCTGCCCCCGGGGCCGCGGAGATGCGCGGGGCGCCCCACGCGGTTCCTGCTGTGCCCGGGCACGTAAGGTAGCCGCAGTAGTAGACACATCACCGAGGTAATGATAATAGCAATAGCTGCCTCACTTAAATGCCTGGATGGAGGTACGTGAAAAAACCTGGGGAGCTTCTTCATTTCATCGTCTTAGGCTCCCCAGGTGAAGGAACATAGTGGTTTTGTTGCACTGTAAGTGGTTACTGTTACTCGGAGCCAGCGCTGAGGTTGTGGCAGCCCAAAGGGGAGCGCTCCCCTGCCCGGTGTCGGAGCGGGAGCTCCAGGCGCTGCAGAGGGAGCAAAACACCCTTGGCCCCGACACGGCGTGAGGTGGCAACGTGCTGTGCAGCAAACAGCACCAAGGGGCACTCACCTTCCAGCACTAACGCGTTAGAAAATACAGGGGAGCTCAAAAAACCCCCGAGCTGAGCGCAAGATGCGCAACTACCTCAGTGCTGTTGAGATGCCAGCAGTAACACATTTAAGGCGGTTTGGGAATCCCTATTTGGTGGCACTGAGGCTGTCCATTTTTAGTGATAGGGACAGCAATAATTAAAAAGACAAACAGAAATGACAAGTTCCCACTATGTGGGGTTGCTCCTGGCCTTCTGAGTTAAAGGACTGGAAGGAAAGGAGTCTGTGGAGCTCACCGAGATCCACCAGCTCTGGTTGGGATGGAAATGGTTGCACAAGTTGGTCTATTCTTTGAACACCTCAAGAACAGTTTGCAGTTCATAAAGGCACTTTGTAGGCATCAGGCATCAAGCTTAACAGAAAGTTAACTTGTAAGAAGAGGTAAATAAGCATTTTTGCTTGTACCCGCCTTTCATAAAAGCTATTAATGAAAAATCATGAGTGTCATAAATATGCAACATTTTATGCTGTTACATAACATCGCATAATTACATGGAATTAGAATTAATTCAAGCTTTTATTGTAAATTAAAAGAACAGCTGCTATGTTAAAAAGACACTGACATCCCTCTGGGATGTTTGGCATCATTCAGGTGGCATTAGAGCAATCCATGGTCTCAAAGAGTGTGTGGTTATCCATATTTTGGTATATTCCTACATACATTTGGTATAGTCCTGAAGAGACTGCAATTATTTGCTATTGCACAGAATTTATAGGTGATGTCTATTTTATTTTTGTAAGAATAAATTAAATTATGCAGCAGAGAGAGAAAGGAAAATCACTTCTTTCCCACAACTTCTAGTCTATGCATACTTTTAAAAAAGTCTGCAGAATTATTATAGAATGTGCCTTCATAGCCTCCAAGTGCTTACCGGAACAATTGTAACGGAACTTGTTTAGAACCTGATAGTGGAAATAATCCCTATTCCAGGGAATATACCTAAGTGGTTTCAAGTTAGAACACGTGTGTGCAGAAGTGCCTTTGGTGAAGCCAAGCGAAGGGCCTGACGTGCCGGTCGTGCCGCGCTTGTCCCTGGCTTTGCTTTTGCCCCGTGGCCATGGTCATTCCGCGCACGCGACCCGGGTGCGCACGCAGGCTCTGGGGCACGTAGCTTGCGTCCAAGTACGGCCTCGACCTGCACCCGCCTCGCTGTCCATGGCCCGACCCTGGCCGTGCCCATGCCCAAGGGAAAGGAAGGCTTGGTGGGCTTGGGGTCACCGGCTGGAACGCGAGGAGATGTGGAATTCTGGGGGGAAAGCATAGTGGGCAGTGGAAAAGGTCAATGCCAGAGATGAAAGACAGGATCAGTGGGAGAGTGATCAGCACGGCATCAGGTAAGAGGGGGTAAATCCCTGTCCTGCTGTTTGTCGTGGCAGAAGGAGAAGTGCCTGGAAGTGCCGTCTTGGTTTTCGACATCGAGCTGCTGGAGCTGGTGTCCGGGCTGCCCGAGGGCTACATGTTTGTGTGGAACGGCGAGGTCTCTCCCAACCTCTTTGAGGAGATAGACCAGAACCACGACGGAGAGGTTCTTCTGGACGAGGTGAGCCCCGGGCAGGAAATCCTGGGCAGTGTCTCCTGGCACCGCCACCAAGGCACCCCAAGGCGTTAAAGAAAGGGGTCTCTCTCGCTCTCTCTCCTTCTATTTTATTTTTTTAAGCTTCGGTTATGGTGCTTGTCAAGTTAACAGGAAACCAGTATGTTAAAAATATGATTATTTAGTTTTGGAGATGGAGCTACAAAGAAAAGTGAAGTATAGGAATGGCCGTGCTGCTTAATTTAGTGTCCTTGTCACCGTCTCGCACCTCCTCGTTTTCCTTCTTTCTGCATCTCTGCATTTACCTCCACCCCTGCCCTTGCAGAGAAGATGGGAGGTTTCTCCAGTCCAGAGCACGAATGAGGTGGGATGGGACTGAAACTCACGTCCCTGCGGTCACTCAGCAGGAGGGGAAGGAGGAGCAAAGGACGTGTGAGAGGATGAGCTTGGTCTGAAATGTATCAACGAAAGGTTGGCAAAGACGACCCTCATTGCTGAAGCTTATTTGACAGGTAGCACCAGAGACTACATTAACTGGAAAACCTCAATTGATTTGGGAGTTTTTGCTTTTTGCTTTTTTTTTCCCCTTTGGCAAGCCAGCCTGCAGGACTGTCACATGTTTTCACCACTTGCATCAGGAGAGGCATTTTTTTGGGGAAATCCTGCCTGTAACCCTTTCCTCCCTCTTTCTCCCTTCTCCCACCGCCAGCTAAAGCCCATGGGAATTGAGTGGAAGGCCTGAAACTGCTTTTAACAAATCTCTTGGTATCCTTTTACTGTCATAATTTCCTTCTTTTTCTTTTGTGTTCCTTGCAAGGTGTAGGTGAGTGTCTGCTTTATAGGGTGAGCTTCTTGCATCAGCTTACAGAACTAAACCATGCTGTCCCCATGGGTCTGTTCCCCAGTCACTCCTTTTGTTCAACCCATCTTCCTCCTAAATTAAGGAAAAATAACTCATCTTGTGAATAAAACCCACTGCAATAAATGTTGAGCTCCAGAGAGTGTGATTTAACCTCATGTGTCTGTGTATTTAGACCAGTTTAGGTTATAAGCTTCTTAGGACAGTAACAGGGCATTTTTATGTGCACTTAATAGTAAGCAGTAGAAAGCTAAATAGTCAACAGCAAATAAATTCTTGATTGTAAATGTCTGCTCAGTTTCAGTACCTGTTTCACTGTGAGCTGTTTTTCTTTCCCTCCACCCAGTTTTCAGAGTACATTCAAGCCCAGGTCGATTCCGGCAAAGGGAAACTGGCTCCGGGTTTCGATTTTGAGAAGATTGTCAGGAACATGTTCAGCAATCAGGACCGCGATGGGAACGGAAAAGTCACAGCCGAAGAATTCAAGCTGAAAGACCAAGAGGCCAAAGAGGAGCACGACGAGCTGTAAAGCTAAGAGGCGGGAGGCTGCGGAGCGGCGCGGCCGTCGCTTGCGTGTGCCCCGGGGCGGGTTTGAGCGAGCGTCTGCGCAAGGCGAGCGCCGGCCGGCCGGGGCGCTCGTCCTGCGTGTGCCGGCGGGCGCCAAAGGGGAAGAGATTTTCACTTGGGATTCTTAGGTAGGAATGTTACCAAAAAAACCCCCAAACCTCAAAAAAAAAAAAAAAACCCCAAATCTAAACACAGTGTTAAGTGCCTCAAGATGGGATTTATAAACTGATGGGGTCTGCTGCTAGCGGGGCTTGTGAATCATGTGGTTTATTTTTATATTGGAGATCCGTGGTCAGCATTGAGCGATACAGTCACGTGGATGGGTGGCAGTGGGTAAACTTACAGGGTGCTCTCAGAAGAGTTTATGAAAAGCCTTTTGTATTTAAAAATATTTCTGCAGGAGAATGAATCAGAAAATATATCCCATGAAAATAGTCTATAAAAATTGCCAGAGGGGGACCCCAGTTCCTTTTGGGAAGCAGGAACACTCTTCCCAGTAACTTAACCAACTTCCATGATATTTGCCAGCAGGAACTCTGATTTGCAAGTTGCAGAACATGCAGATGGTAGCAAGGCCATTGGAAATTTTTCATAAGCTGTGAACTTAAATGAAATAGATCTAGAATTGTAGCGGTGTATGGGCTGGGTTTTTTGCCTTACAAAATAAAACTTGCTACCATCCGCACCACATTTAATTAGTACCTTTGAATCTTCTCGCTGGCATGTTAACACAGTGTTCAGAGCAGTGATTCCCCAACCTTTCTAGTTGCAGTCTTATTTATAGAGTTTTTAGACTCCAAATATTAGTATCATGTGGTCCAAATCCTGCCATAAGTACTGGACAAAATTGATTTTACTTCAGGCTTCTGCTTCCTCTTTTGGGAATTGTTAGACCAGGGGGTAAGTACTTCGATCTTATGCAGCGGAGCAGCCTGGCACGGCGAGCAAACAAAAAGACAGTGATAAAAGCAAGGAGTGAAGCCGTCTGCTCGTGCCCGCAAACATCCTGGTGGATCCTCCAACACGGAGGGAGCCCTGGGGGTGCTGTGGACGCAGATGCAGCCCCCGTGGATGTGTAAGTGTAGCAGACTGCCTAACACGACATACCCTAAACAGACACGGCTCTCCAGAAAGCCCTGTGATCCCTCGCAGCGTAGTCAAGAGCACGGCTCTGCGTAGCGCAGCGCTGACAGAGCCAAGCAGGGAGGGAGCGGGGCTTCCAGGACGTGCTTTGTGTCTAGCTTCTTGCTTTCCTCCATCTGTACACGTGGTTGTGAGCTCCCCAAGGCGCTCTTCCTGCAAACTGCCATTTCAAGTGGGTGAGAACATTTTTGTATTGAATTTTAATACAGTTGTTATAGAAAACGAAAAGTGAAAATTTGGGGGGGTTTGATACCAGTAGATGTTGGATAACTGATCTTTTTGTTACATAAAATGTTGATCAACTACTCCTGCCAGTGCTTGCTGTTTTTTTCCTGGGTGTTTTGCTGTGTGGGGAGGAAGGATAAAGCACCCTTCACGCAGCAGTCCTCTTGTGCACGCACGGTCCTGAGGATGTCCCTCCTGCTTCAGCCCTTAGGAAGAATATTGCAAACTAAAATTATTTGACTCAAAGTGCCTGAAAATAACAAGCCGTAATAAAAGGCTTTGTTTCTGTAGTTCACAGAGGTGAATATAAATCATTCTTTACCCTTAGAATTGTCCCTCTGCTCTTGTGGCTGTTGGGAACGGGACGTTTCTCCAGGCCAGGGCCTCCGAGTCGCTCGGCTGATGAACAGGACTCACCTAAAGATCTTCGCTGCGGTGCCCAGGGCCACAAACAGCCCCAGGACTCTGGCGGCGGCTGGCAGAGAGCCAAGCAGCTCCGCGAGCAGCGACAGCGCCTGGGTCGGCAGGAGCGCCATGGGGCCGCTGCATCCGTCACCACGGCGTGAGGAAGCGGCCAGCAGGGACAGGGCTGCGTCTCACAGCAGCCGCCAGGCTGGGGGCCCTGCGCAGGCCGGGATAAATCCCAGTGCTGCCCACGCTCCTCAGAAGAGGAAACACCCATTTCTGATTTTTAAATTAGATTAATCTGGGGGCTTCTGTACCTGCTTAACTGAGATACTTCCCTACTCAGAAGGGCAGCACCAGCGTTTCCGTATCACCAGTAATTGGATGAAATCAAGTGCTTTTCCTTAGCTCAGGAGAGGCTCTGCCCCTGGGGAAGGCCGCAGGAATCAGCAGCTGCAGCCGGGTGTGGGGCTGGGGCACTCGCAGCTGCTCCCCATAAGGCAGTGCCCGACGAGGGAAGCTGCAGGCCTGAGGCAGAGGTGCCTTGTGGAAGAGCCCTCTGCTCATAAGCACCAGGTATTTATCAACTTTTTTTTCTGCATGATTTTTGAACCCTAATTTACCATATAACTCCTCATGTTTTAAAATTTTGAAAGTCAAAAATGAGTTTGCCCCCCCTCTTCTTTTCTTTGAGCTCTTGAACAGAGGTGCTAGCTTTGTGTGAGAGCAATTACTAATTCAGTCCTTCCCTTAAGCCTGAAAAGGGCAACTTGAGCTGGTCTTTGTTGCAGGCACCCCTCAGTTTGGCATCCCTGGGCACTAAGGGGACATCTGAGGAGACTGCGACATCCCTCCACAGGAGGAAATGTTTGTAGCTAGATAAAGGTCTCAAATAATTTGCCAGGGACACGTGCTCCACAGAGAACAGATATTGTGAGTAGAGGAGAAACTAAGTAACTAATTCACATAGCTCTGCTTCCTCTTGTTGCTTTAGAGGTCAGAAATACACTTTTGGTTATTTAAAGGTTTGGGGAAATGCGAGTGATACTTTCCTTTCCAAGCTGATCACGACTGAAAGGTACTACAAGTATAATAAGAATTCTTGTGGCACAATAATAATTCTTTCCTAAAAGTGAGTGAATAACACAGATGGCAGTTTTAGGTTACAAGGTTAGACCGCCATGTCAGTTTGGGTTGAGGTAACTGGTCTGCAGTTTATGGTTTTGGAGAGGCGATTGACTGTATTACGTTCTTCTAGCTAAAATAATCTGAGTAAAAAAGGTGGGATTTTGACCAAAAATAGACAGCATCTTTTGTGTTTGTTTTTGTTTTGGAAAAATGGAGGATACCTGTAAATAGGTTTTGCTTTTTCTCTGCGCTACTGGCTTGTCTGATGACGGAAGGCAATGGGTAATCTGCCCAGTTACATGTAGGATCACTTTAAAGACGCTTCCCGATTCAGATTTATCGAGGAAGCGACTGCTTTCCTTCCTAGCAAGCTGAGCACGTGGTGTGTCAAGAAGCAGACGTTTTGGCACGCGAACGCCCTTGGCGCGGGAGGCAGGTTCCTTTGGTGAAGCGCGGCCGTAGCCGCCACGCGGGCGGCGAGCGGGGCAGGACGGCGGTGGCTGCGGCTCGCCGTGGGGCTCACACGGGTCGGGCTCCGGGGCAGAGCAGGAGGAGGTGCTGCAGGTCGCTGAAGCGAGCGGGACGGGAGCCTGCGGGAGAGCCTTGCACCCACTCACGGCTGCTCCTGCCGGCTGGGCTCGGCTCCGCGGAGACAGCGGCGCTGACACGGCCGGTGCCAGGAGCTGCGCCCGTCGTCGCCTTTCGCGTGAGCTACGTCCTCCTCTCTGGGTTCCAGAGGCAGCGGCCTGGGAAAACTCACCGCGGGCTCTGGGGCAAGGGCTCGTAACGAGCCCCCTGCGTCACGACTCAGCAGCGCGGCTAGACGCTGGGAGGGTTTCGGGAGCCCTTTGCCTTTTGAACTTTGTTTGAGAGCTGTTGCAAAAGATCCTGCGTAATCTCTTGGGTAAAAAACAAACAGCAACAAGAAGCTGAACCCCCCGCCAGACTCCTGAAATCCCGAGGCTGCCTCAGGGAGGTTGCGCCCGCACCGGCGGTGGCTTCTCGTCCCGCTTGGCCTTGGAACAGCAGGATGGGAGCGCACGAGTGTTGGGGATGGAGCCGTGGCTGGGCATGCTAGTACCTGAGAAACTGCTTTACGAGGGGGAGAAGCTTGCTTTAATTCGAACACACTGACATAAAAGAGCAGGACTTTCCTTCCTACCCTCCCTGCTCCCAGGTTCCACAAAGGATAAGCACACAGTAGGGATACAGAATATTTTGTAATGATCAAACTTCTCAGAAAATCTATTGATAGCAAACACTGCCTGAATCAGGTGAATAAAGCATTTTTACTGAAGAAAAACATGAAAAAGTTTCGTGAACATTTGTAGCATATTAATAAGAGCCTTCAAAGTGCAGCTGAGAGAGAAGTGCCTTCACCAAAAGGTTCCTCAGTCATGTAAGAAGGCAAGGCCAACCTGTGTGCGTTGCTTATCCACAGAATGTTTCTGCCTTCTGTTTTGCAGAATGGCCACATCTTCTAAAACGCGCCCCTGAAGGCTTGATTTAAATGAAAGTGAACCGTAGTGCTCCATCAGCAGCAGAGTTTATCACATCTATAAATCCAATTTAAATCTAGCTATTACAATAGGAGTGTGAGACAAAAGAACAGCGTAACGACAATAAAAGGAGCTTCTAGTTGACAACTGGTAGCGTGTATACTTCAAAATACCCAAAATGATGGTAAAAGTTTTTAAATTAAATAAAACAGTTCTGTAAATGAGTAATAAACACAACTACGATGGCACAAGTGTGCTCTTCTGTCCAGTTGCCTCTTGGAAGGAATGGAGTGACTCGAGACTGCACTTTACAGGATTTTCTGTAGGATGGAGTTGGCCACTTCCAAAGATTCATCTTTCACCAAGACAATATCATAAGAGTCCATATATTTTTCCAAAAGCTCCTCTACCTGATTGCAGAAAGGATAGAGAGAGAGAGAGAGAGAGACTCACTTAGATTTACAATATTAACAGATTTTTCTTCAATAAAATATTGCCCCATCTTCCCATCAAAATCAGGGAATGAGCCATGCGAGTATCCATCACTCCTGTGAGTGAATTCCACAGGATGTCAGAGGGTAGGGAAGCTTAACATGAACTCTGTGCACATTCCAAGGAATAATACCTAAAGTTTACTCCATGATTTCACATATAAGGATAGTGAAAGGGAAACTATGTTTTCGGGTTCCTGAAAGGAAGACAGAAAAAAATAAAAAAGGAAAAAGCAGAAAGTGGAGAAGAGTTTTCTCTTAAATGCAACTGGATGCACTATAATTTACCAAACACTCAATTCTGTCTCTGCCAAGATAGCAGACCCGGTTTTGCTTAATTCCTGATCCGGTATTGAAAGGGAGAGGGGACAGAGAAAAAGGAATTTCAGATAATTAATTTCTTCAGTCTCTGAATTTTAATTCCTCCCCCAAAATGTTTTTTTTTTTCTTTTCCCTCCTCCCCCAGAAGAATTTCAGTACAACAAGCAAGGCAAATTACATTTGTGTTTTCATAACTTACAGATCAGAAAAAAACCTCAAGAGGCAAGGAATGCATGCAAAATGTTTGAGATCTCAAAAATGTTTGAGATCTCTCTTGCATGCTGGTACCTGGTTTGATATTTGGTACTTTCTATAATGAACCTACTGCTAATTCACAATATTTCACTCAAATTTGACAGGGTTACAAGGCGACTTACTTTATCGTTGAGATAGCCAATCTTAAGAATGTGTTCGACGTTTGCTACTCCATCTGCCATGCTCAAGTCCCCCTGGGAATCCCCCAGCAGGATGATGTTACTGTTGTCTTTCAGCTGCTTGAAGTACTCTGTGTTCTTCAAGGCACCATCATGTTTGTTGTAAACATGAATCAATTCTCCTTTAAATCCTTTTAATATTCCCTATTAAAAACACTTCAGTTATTTCTGGAATTACAGAAACGGACAGAGACTAGAAAGAAATAGAAGACACCGCTCCAGGAGCAATGTTGAACCACTTATCCTTTAATCAGGAGCAACGTGAATTACTGTTACGTGGCCGGATGCCCGTGGCAGCCCTGCCAGGCCCCAGCAGAGGCAGATTGTCCTCGTGTGGAGGAACAGCTCGGTCCTGGGCTGGCTCCTCAGGCCCTTGCTGCTAAAGGAAACCAAGGGCATTTTGGTTGCACTCTGCTTTTGAGCTGTTCCCTTCTGCTTGCTTTCTGACCAGGCACGGCTGATCTTCTGGCCAGCTGGCTACGTCTGTGGCATTAAAGAGTTTGTCTGTAGCACATCTAAATAGCTACTAAATCCTTCTACCATTATTATTTTTGAAAAGAGTGTATTTCATACTTACATTTTCATCAAAATCCATGAAATTGGAAACAACTTTGACATTAGAATGGTAGACCCCAGCCTGATGGATAACTTCCTCGAGGATGTCTCCAATCCCAGCAGAGAAGATGAACACAGGGATATTGTGCTCATTGAGCTTATCAAAGAAGTTCTCGTATCCTTCTCTGCAACACAGGATGGAAATATAAGTCAAATCTCAAATAGAAAAATGGAAAAAATAGAGGTTTTGGAAGACTAACTTATCCTCTTGGGAGTAGGAAACAAATTTCCTTTGTCCTTTTTCTGTATTTACTTTGCCTCCCCTTTTCAGGCCTAACAAAAACATGTGGTTTTAACATCCAGTTGTGTTTTAAAGACTTGAAATTGTAAAACACTTTCCCCTTCTCAAAATAGCAGATAGATACTTTCAGACGCTCCTTTCAATCTTCCCACTGTAAAGATTTGACTTCCTATAGGTTCTTCCTACAAAACAAAGTACCCTTTTTGTTTTTAATTCCTGAAAACATCGTTATTGCTCTTTTTTAAAAACTTTTTAAATTTTCAATTCCCAAATCAAAACTAATATACAGTATTCCAGTATCTAAGTACCACCTCAGCAAATGAGGTGCACTTGTGTCACACAGGCATCGATGGGTAGAATTTTAGAGGTGTTTTTTTTCTTCTTCTGCCATAAAGCCCTTGTTGGAACCTTAGCCAAGTGAGGGAAGGTTTGACCCAAATGGACTCAAGCTTTCAATAAGCCAGATTGTGAATGGCTGTTCATGGAAAGATAAGAACTTACCCAGTATGATAAACACTTCCACAGATTAAGTTTTACAACCAGGTTTAGTATTTTGAAATTTACAGATTATTATTTGGAGAACTTCAAAATGAATGGGAGGCATTTAATAAAGCAAGGATTTTGCTGGCTTTTAAAGTAGCCTTTGGCTGTAGGGGAAGAACAATAATTAATATCATAATAAAATGCAGAGTCCTCAAGTTACTATATTTTATCTCGGATAAAACTATCACAAGGAATGTTTTTTTTTAAGTTGAACTCTACATCCCCTCTTTTTTTTTTTTAAAAGGCGCCACTAGTGCATTTTTAAGAGGGTGAAAATCTGCAGAAACAAAGTTTGTAGAGATGGCCCTCAAAATACAGCTTTTAAGGCAGCTAAACCCCTGGACTTTCAGATTTCCAGTTTATCCAGTGTGATCATCACAGGCTGTGATGATAATCCATAAAAGAGACATGAAGAACTTGCTGCATTCTGAGAGTAGTGTCACGTTCCATTTTGTGTTTTTTTTTTAAGCAAAAACACTTCAAACCAGTCACGTTCAAATCTAAAGAAACTTACTTGAGCATAACATCCGATTCCCTCACAATTTCTGCGAATTTATCCTTCTGTAAGCCTTGTTCAACGAGTAGTGCGTGGGATTTATTGTACCTACAGTACAAATAGAAAGCTTGACTTAAAGAAATACCATTAAATCTCATCGCCAAAAGCATCCTATCTAATTCTTGCTCATCCAGGTTAACAGCACAGCAAAAGCAGTTGTGACACAGCACTTGAAGATTAAATCAGTCAAAGCATTAGGAAAAGCTAATCACAGCTATTCATGTGCTTTTAGAGACTTAGTATTAAATCTAATATTGGTACACTCTTAAGACGGGAGATGCCTCTTACCATTCCACCATAAACGGATATTTTTCCTCAATAGTAAGAGCAGGATCAATTTCAATAGCATAGTACGTTTCTTTCAGCTGTAGTAACTGAAAGGAGAAAACAAAGCGGAATATATTTTTATCATGTTTGACCTAGCTAATCAAAATAACTTTCTTCTGTCTGGTTCCTTTTCTTAGGTATAAGGAATCCCAAATACCTTTTGCAGACAGAAAGAATTTACTTGTGAATATAGCAAAGAAGAATAAATGAATACTGTTAAATTATATGTTACTATGAAGAACACGAGCATTCCTGTTCTGTTAGTGACAGATGAAAGTCTGAGCCCCTTGCAGTCAGTGAGGATGCTCTCAGAGCAGCAAGGATTTGAGAGTATCCCTGTCTTACGCTGCTGTGCAGGTAAACACATAGGAGAGACAGGAATAAAAGCAGTTGTCTATAGCAGGAACCAACAGCTGATACGCTTTGTGATTACCTTTTTCCGACATTCCTCTGTGATGAGTTTGGAGTTATCAATGATGTCTGTAGGGGGGGAAAAAAGTCTTAAATAAGACATATTTCTTTCTGCTTTTCTCTACAACATTGTAAATGGCACAGAAGGCAGTGTTTGATGATGAACAACTCTGTTTCTTCAGAACTTGTCTTAACCAAAAAACCAACTGAAAGCCATGTTGCTTCTTTGGGGGGGGAGTGTTTTTCATCAGCATGAAGATGCTTCCCCTCATCTCTGAAGCAGAAGGTAAAAAGCTAATTACTCTGTTTCTTGAGATGTGTTTCTGAAATGATCATCAGGCATCCTATGTGCTTTAGTATTCCCAGTCCATTAGAAAATTGGTTCTTTTCATCTTGTGGCATTTTAAAACAAAGGAAAATGTCAAGACTTCCAAGGAGTTTGTATTTGATGCTTAGGGTCAGGACTATTACGGACTTGTAAGAAAAATATGTCAACCACATACACTTCTCTGAATTTAATTCACACTAATGATGATTCAATATATATATACATAAAATTACATACAGACACTCACTCTAGATCTTCATTATACAGTTTAGCTAACAAGTTAATATCAAATATATCAGGGGATAAGTGAGAGAGAAAATTAAAATCTGGGAGAAACTGAAAGGATTGAACAAAACATTTCATATTAAAAAAAAAAAAAGTACTCACTATGGCAAGTTGGACATCTTTTTCCATTGAAGGAAAATCTACTTAATGTCATATCAAAATCTGTAATAATCTATTTAAGAAAAGAAAAAGCAAAACTGTCTTACAATGTGAAGGGACAAAATAAAGAATGGCTAGAAATTCTGAATAATCATCAACAGCTGCACTTGAGAGGCAATTCAATCACAGACTTCTTCCTAGTTTACTGAACTATAGTAACGTAAGTGAGAATGTACCATCAGAGTAACTTTTTCTTGGGATTTTTTTAGTTCTTTTGGTCTAAATAATTCTTGAAATTACAAATCTTACATCTACATCATTTCCTTAATTACAGACTGTCTGAATTACACTTGAATCAGCAAGGGCTACTACCAGAGTTGACAGATACAAATTTTGGAGGACACCTGAAGGCTGACTGCTGCTATATATGTTCCTGAAAGGCTCACTTCTGCTACATATATTCTTAAAACTGCTTTCTTTCTGATCTGCTTACTCCTATTATTTTTACCTGAAGTTTGGCAGCTCCACCTTTGATAAGGCCACAGATAATCTCTTCTACTCTTCCTGGGTCCTTGATATGGACAGTCTTCTTTCATATTTCTGGCATCTATGGAGTAGAAAAAGAAAGAAAGAAGAAAAAAAAAAAGAAGATATACTTGCAGAGAAAACTTACAAGGCAACACCTACTGTCCAGCAGACTGGAACTCTGCACACAGAAACAATTTCACATGACATCAAGACAAGCTCAGGTTTTTAAATCACGACAGGAAGACAAGAGCGAGATCGAAACTCTGAACATACTAACTCAGGAGCACGCAGAGCTTTGTTTGCTTTTCATATTTGTTTTCATTCCCTTCTCAAATTAGTAAATTTGCACTCAAAGGTAATCATACTCACGGGAAATAAGGGAAATGTAGAAAAACGGGACATCCAGAGTCACCTTGTAGCTGAAACAAGTCACTGGGAAATGGTGCAATTTAAACATACTAGTTCTGTGCGCAATTACTAAGCACTTAAAGTCTCAACACAGACAAAGATTTAGTTTTAGTTTAGTTTTTTAGATCTAGTTTTAGAGCCCTGTTGTTTTTGCAGCTGAGAATGCTACACCACGTCTTGGTTGACAACAAGTTGCACTGCTCCCTGTCAGTCTATTTTTCTGATTACCTATTTTCCAATTACTTACTTGGCCTCAAACTTGCAAAGTAACATATGCTACCACACTAAATATTTCTCTTCAGTGAGGAGTATTTTCTGAACATCTAAGTTTGCGTTAGGGAAAAAAAAAGCCGACTTTCACTTGATCTAAAAGTTTCTCTTCAACCTTGCAGAATTACTTAGGGGAACATCTGAAGGGAGCGATTTCCAATATAGCAGCATTGCCTTCCTTTATACCCTGTAACCCGCCCGTGTTAGTTTCTCCAAAGGAGTCCTGTAGATAGATGGGTTCCTAACGGAAAAGACACTCACGTCTCAGGGAAAAAGCAATGGGAAGATACCTCTAAGTATCTTCTCTTGTCCATTTTTTGTCCACAGGTAGAAAGGGCTATAGCAGCATCACTCTGAACAGATGCTTGTCTAATCTATTCTCCAACACCTTCAACACAAAGTAAGGCATTCCTTGCTTTTTGCAGCAATTTTCACAGTGTTTATTTCTGGGCCAGAAAAGCTTGCTTATTTGCTAACCTCCCCCCCTTTTCCTTCTTGAACCCAACCTTTTCTTAGTGAGACTGGAGCTTATTTGACCAAAATGTACATGGAGATATGCTCCTGAGGATGCTTCCTTTTTCTCTCCTCTAAAGAACTGCCACTACCCAGTTGCTTCAGTCCTCTTGTACCTGCTGCCTGAACCTCCAATTATTCCTCACGTGATCCTGGCCACCCCATCTGATTCACACTGTTCTTGAAACGCAGGATTCAGAACTGGACACAACCTTTCTGCACTCCTCAGCACTGGAAAGGCTCTAGCTTAAAGACCAACTTTGGCCGGGTCTTTCACAGAGTATTTTTCCATAAACATTTGAAGACATTTTATTTGTTATCAATAATATGGTGATATTGATTCAAATTCAGCTGGTAATTTGCAATTTTTTTCTTAAAACTACTGTTGGGCAGAAATTGCTGTGAGAAGTATGAAATTCTGCATTTGGTCTCACTGGAATATATCTGCTCTTCCAGACCAATGCTCCCATTTGTCAAATACAACAAATAATTGTAATCCTCCAATATACCCATGGCCAGTTTCTGGCTGATGTTGTCAAAGATGCTAATGAGAACAGACAGAAGAGATCTTCTAAAAGCCTCATCATGAACCAGTGGTAGTTTTCCACCCATCTAAAAAGTTTCCGCTATCCCATAATATCTTGACAAAAAGCTTCATGACGTACTATTTACCGCTAATTTGCACTATCAACTTGATAATGAAAGAAACTGGGTTTGTGTCACATTAATTATTCTTGATGAACCACTGGTACTTACTCATCTCCATATTAACTTTTAGTGTATGAAAATATGTTCTTCTAGATTTTTTTCTCTGGGAACTGAAATAAGCAAATGGTTTGTTATTCACTAAATCATTTTTCTTTCCTTCAACAGATTACGTTCTGTTTCCTTTTCACCTCTTTCCTTTTATTTGTACTTGCCCTTTACTGGCTCTCTCATTTGCTGACATTGTGAGAATCACTTAATTTAGAAGAATTTCTCTTCCTCTGTTTTCTGTTGACCTGAGAGACATTTTCTGTAAAAGTGGTACCTTCTAAACTGATGTAGTTACTTTTTGTGTTGTTGCTCTTCCTTGTTACTCTTATTAGCATAGCAAAGTCAGAAAATGTGTACTTGGACTGGCTTCCAAAGGTTTGTACCAGATCTGGAATTTCTTGGACAGTTAAAGATCATAACAAAACCTTCATGAAAATGCCCATTGAGGAATTCTTTGGGAGTTCTTCTGAGAACTACATCTGCAGAGCACTTATATTTATTCACAGATACGGAAGAACAAGAGTATCAAGTGATCTAGCTGCATGAAAGAAAGCAACAAAAATCTGCAACTCTTTCCAAAGTGTTTTATGGTGTTTCTCTTGCATTTTGTACAGTGCTGTTAGACAAAACTGCAATAGGCAGATAACAGTTCTTTGGTGGGTACACAGCACTGTTTATTGAAAGATAAAGCACTTGACTCTCTTTTGCAATTTTTTCACTGTAAAATGACAACTGTAATTCCTTTGGCTATCAGGAGGGGAACCGTTTATATTTTCTTAGAGGTAGAATGCAGAAACTAAGCAAAGGGAATTCTAAATGTGTCCCTTTGTAGGAAGTAGCTCAAACAGCATTTGGTTTACTTAGATACCAGGCACCAGTCTTCATAATATAGGTGATTTAAACAGAATGGCCGCTGGGGGGATGGAGAGATGAGAGGGAGACCCTGCACGAGGACACGTGACCTGTTTGCTGCTGTGTTGCTTCAGACTCCTGTAGGTTTTGAAAGAACTTGAGGAAGAACACCCTTAGTAAACACTTCAGTAGATGATGTTAAACAAGACATTGCTTAAGACCAAGTATGATAAAAGCTTCCTTCTTTAAGATTGTAAATTGACATGCTGTACTCCTAAGGATCAGTTCTGCTGGTTAATTTATCCTGAATACAGTTTTATTTTCACATGAAGATTACAGTGAGGTAAGAGGGAGTATTTTAATATGGGGGGAAAACTCTTCTGCAGCAAAACTGAGTCTTCATCGTGAATAAGGCACCTGATAAGGCCTCAGGCAAATATGATTAGTCAAAACAGGTAGCGTCACCATCTCTATTTCCTTGTATCTATATTTACAACTGAACATTATACAGTAATTATTTTATTTAGGCTTTATCATTATTACGAGTGTATGAAACTGAGTGTCACCTCCAGCAATCACCATTTTTCTGACAAGATTTTCTCCAAAGTTTTATACTTCTGCCTAGACTGTTGTTTTTGCTGCATAATTGCCATTCTTCACAGTTGGAAAAAAAAAAGAAAAGCAGATTAAAGATGAAAAGAACTGGTAAGTCTGATGAAAGAACAAGGTAGAATGAAATAATGCTAATAAGAAAAATGTAATTAATCTGATAAGATCTGTGTTTTTATTAATTCTTCAGGAAGGCTCTAAGCGTCAAATCTGTATGTACAAAAGCCCCTAAATTCCTGATAGAGTAGCCAAGTGGGAAGAATGCAACTGGAGAAATAACCAGTAAAAAACAAAACAAAACACTCTACAGCACCTAGCAAGGATAAGAAACTTTTAGGAGCAAGGAGTTTCTACACACAGGACTAAGGTTATGTGAGCACAGGAAAAGGAATTTGTGCTTACCTGTGACACCCGAAAGTACATTAAGTAAACACTTAAGCGACCTTATTTATTCTGTCATTATATAAAGGTCTGAGAAGAGCTTTATACATGTATGTTAGTGAAATAGGTTGCTGAGATAGGTATATTTTGAAATAAATGTTAAAAGATTACCACTGCCAAGGGTCATTTGTGGTTGATACACACTGACCACAGCACATTCAAGTTTTTAGTGTCTAAGGATTTTAACCAACTTTTAAAGAGAAGCAAGAAGGGCAAAAGTGAAAGAAAATATTTTTCAGGTTGTACTTGCTTGAGTTATGGAAGGGATAAAAAGATAGGGTGGTTTGTGATAGGAGATGACTGGACTGAAGATACAGGAAATTCTTCCCAAGTGCACAATGTTATAATCATACCTTGATGAATGAACTGTACTGGGTTCACGCAGGTTTGGAAATCCCCCAGTCCTACAAACCACAGAATGTGTCATTTACAGCAAGGATAGTTCTGAAAACAACAAGTACATGAGACATGCAACTATGGAACTGGGTTAAATAAACAGGAAAACTGCTTAATGTAAAGACCATTTTGAACTTCAGGTTTAAAATAGTTTCCTATGTACAACTGGATTGCAAGAGTGTGAACAAGGCTGCTTTTATATTTTATCTGGGTGCTGCATGTAAGCAGCTTGTGCGGGGAGAGACAAAACGAGGAAAAACACCCTAAGAGCCAAAGCCCTGGCATCAATAATGAGTTTAAGGGAAAGATGGGGGAAACTACCAGTGGTTCTAAAAAGACAAAAACAGAAGCAATGCATGTGATGTGGCATCTTACCACTAAACCTGATGCAATAGCATTTCCTAAGCCTTTAGAACAAAAAAAATGGGCAAAGTATTTTTGCACTGACAACCTTGTAAACCTACACTGCTTGGCATATATGGTTTCATTATTATACAAAGACTAATCTAAGATGGATGCCTCTTTAAAAGCACTGCACCCTGCATCACCAACTGCTAAAGTTTTAATGGAACTTCTCTATAGTTCTCACTGATTGAGAGAATGCTTGTTAGGCATTAGTATCTCATGTCTAAATTCTTACTAATAAAAGGAATATTGTCCTCATACTTGCAACTATAATAAAGATATAAAAATAATAAGAGGTCATACAAGTGATAAAATAATGTAAAAAAAATAGCCATGATACTGTATTTTAATGGCGTGAATACTGACAGTCTGAGAATTTCAATTATCACTTGATTTCTTTTTTAAACTTTGTTGGTAAGCCTGCCTTAG